TGAAGCAGATTTACAACAAGCATTACAAAGAGATCCTTCTCATATTGCGACTTTACTTCCAAGTAAAAAGTCTCGTGTTGGTAAGTAATAATAATAAGATGTATATAATAGAAAGTATTGTATATTTTATATTTTGCATAGCAACTGCCAAACGAATACGTAATGATACAAAAACAACATTAAGAAGACGTACTAGTACAAGATCTCGTGGTACAACAACATCAAGACGTATGTCAACAAATATTCATGATGCAGCAGTTTCTATGTTACCAGACTTATCTGAAAATTTATCTAATGAAGAACGTACTTGGGAAGAAATTATGCAAATTAAAGCTATGCCTGTATGCATGGCACAAAAAATACAATTGAAAAATCAATTACAAGTATATTTATGATAATATTAATAAACAATAATAAAAAACAATTTATTAAAAATTATATATTTGTATATATATTTCAGAGTGCTACAAAATTAAGATTACAAGGTTTTGAACAATTAAAATGGCAACGAAGAAAAGCTTGGCAACAATTTCGTATTAGAATGAAGGAAACATATTCAAAAATGGAATTATGGAATGATAGTCTTAAAACAATTGGTGGAAATTTTGGCATGGGAATAGTTGCATACTTTTTATTTATCAAGTGGTTAATGTATCTTAATGTACTTTTATTTACAATTATGTTTTCATTTATTGTATTACCTGCAATATTATTGGATATACCAGAAGAAGAATTATGCATAAATTCTAACAATAGTAATAGTATATCTTGCTGTTCAGAATTATATCAAAATATAACTCAAGAGAGTAATAGCATAACAGACATTGGTATCTTAGAATATACTTTATTATTTTATGGTGTATATAGTCATATAACTTATGATACTTCTGGTATATTTTTTAATTTACCATTATCTTATATTTCTGCCACTATTGGTATATTTATTATTAGTTTAATAGCTATCGTTAAATCAGCTGCTAAAAGTTTCAAACAGAGGGTAATTGAAAATGAAGGCCAATTTTATCAATATTGTAATTTAGTTTTTGGTGGTTGGGATTATTGTATACATAATGAAAAATCTGCAGCAGTAAAACATAAAGCATTATATAATGAAATGAAAGCATTTTTAGAAGCTGAAAGATTAGAAGAAGAAAGACAAAATCGAACAAGAGAAGAAACAACAAAATTATTTTTTATGCGTTTATTTATTAATTTAATAGTTTTAACAGTATTATGTGGATGTGGTATGTTTATTTATTATATATTTGAATTTTCTTTTGATCAAATTTCAACACAAATCAATCAAACATATGACTTACAGTATTTATCTTTAAATAGAATTGCTCACTTATTTTTCGAGTTTCTTCCATATATATGTATTGTTGCTTTAAATCTTGCAATACCATTTTTATTTCGATATTTAGTTTCTCTAGAAAATTATAGTCCTTCATTTGTTATAAACATAACTCTTCTCCGAACTGTTTTTTTACGACTTTCTTCTTTGATTGTTTTACTCACATCATTTTATAGATTAATTGTAACGGAAGTAATGGATAATGAGTGTACTAATACTGCTAATAAGCGGCCATTATGTTGGGAAACATTTGTAGGACAACAATTTTTCAAACTTTATATCACTGATCTTTCTCTTCAGTTTTTCATGACATTTTTTGTTAATTTTCCTAGATCACTAATAGCTAAACATACAGAGAACAAAATATTACGTTTTTTCGGAGAACAAGAATTTGATTTATCTAAGCATGTGTTAGATGTTGTTTATTTACAAACTGTTTGTTGGCTCGGTTTCTTTTTTGCACCTTTATTACCATTAGTTGCAATAATTGGTACTTTTTTGTTATTTTATATAAAAAAGTTTGCATGTTTGGTAAACAGTATTCCATCAAGTAAAGTTTATAGAGCAAGTAAATTAAATGCATTTTTTATGTTAATTTTATTAATTTCTTTTATTTTATCTACAATACCAGTTGGTTATTCTATTGCAGAAATTCTACCATCAAAATCTTGTGGACCATTTAGAGGTTTTAGGTCTGTATGGTCATTATTAATTCTGACATTTGCAGAATTTCCTGATTGGCTTCAATCTATCTTATATTTTCTTAGTACTGCTGGATTTGGTGTACCAGCTTTTGTTATTCTTACTTTACTTTTATATTATTATTATGCTGTATCGATAGCAAACAAACATATGGTAACAGTTTTAAAAAATCAATTAGTATTAGAAGGCCATGATAAACAATTTTTACTTAACAGATTGAGTGCATTTATTAAACAACAACAAGATCAGAATAAATATCATCAAGAACAAGCAAATGAATTAGGCACATTTTCATAATCAATATTATATATGAACATTGAAATTTTTACATAATCTCTAAAACGCACAGATTTAAAAAAATATTTAATATATCACATTTAATACAATTTAATATAATGAATACTTTTTTGTTAGCATTTATTACACAATAATAATAAAAGTAGTTTGATTTATTCTTTTTTTTAATATTGAATTGAAGGAAACAGATGTTTAAGATATACTTTTTAATTTAAAAATATCTAAAATAAGTTTTTATATTTATTATTAAATATTCTTTATTATTTAAATTTTTAATATATTTAATTTTAAATATGTTAAAAAATAATACTTAAAAATCAGGGTACAAAATGAAAACCGTGCAATAGTAGAAAGAATTACAAATTATTTATTATGTATATCTAGTTTTAATAATTGTAGAAGAGACTAAGATACAGTATAATAGTAGATATAAGAATATTTTTTCTTTCTTAAATAGTTTTTTATAAAATTTTAGATAAAATAATATAATCAATTTTTTTTTATAGAAAACAAAAGATATCATTTACTTTTTAATTTTATAAATAAACATTAGGGTGCTTTTGCTAAAATGAAGTGAAGTGATATATGATGGACCTATTTTTAGATTAGCTGAGTATTAGAAATATGATTGTAAATAGATTGTGTAGGTTAATCAAATGATCCTTAATAGAAAAAACACATTTTATAATGATTTATTACTTATATACCAAAGTAAATAAGAATCAGATAATTTTATTATATAAAAAAAAATTGTATTTCTATAGTAATAATTTTTGTTTACAACTTTATTATTCTAAGAATAATTTTATAATATATATTTTATTACAAAACTTTATTTAAAATCTTTTGATATAAATATTTGATATTGTGAATATTTCTAATTTTTAAATATTAATTATTGTTTATTTTAAAAAAATTTTATGTGTAACACTGCCATTGTTATATATATATATATATATATATATATATATATATGCATGTATAAAAAATCCCTTGTAGGAATTATGCATGTATTTCTTGCAAATATTTATTTTAAAACTGCCAATATATATTATATATTAAATGATTTGCAAAAACCTTTTATATAAATTTTATACAAATTGATCATAAAAAAACAATTATATATGAATGTCATATTAACTTTAACAATTATATTATATTGATTATTATGTTATAAATCATAATCTATTTCTTTGATGTCATTATGAACAGTATTAAAAATATTATGATATATTATACTAAGTAGTATATATATATATATGTAATAAAAAAAAAAATCTTTAGTGTTAACAAAAAATAGCAAATGCTTTCATCTTCATTGCAATTTTTATATATTTATAAAGATAATGAAATAAATTATAAATTTACTATTTATCTTATAAAAGACTGCACATTTCTGAAACAGCTTTCCTATTTAAACTAAACCATTTGCGATATTTATCTATTAATAAGGGATACTAAAATATCTGTTACGTATGACAAAAATATATGCTCACTCATATAAAATATGGTTAATAAACTACAACATATACAAAATATATAAAATATTTATTTTTATCTATACATTAAAATAGAATAATTTTTACAATTCATTAAACATATAAGAATTTTTTATATTATGTTAACATTTGTTTTCAGTTATGATTCTGTAGAATGTAGCTAAGAAAGAAATATATTTTAATTAAATATTCATTATATTTTACAATTATAAAAAAAACTTTTATTTTTTACATAAAATAACTTACTGCTTCAGCGATATCAATCCAATCTATTGCAGCTCTTAAAGCATCATTTTTAGATGGTAATTTATCATAATTCCAATAAGTAAAATGTGAAAATGTTCCCGTTAAATATAAATTACGTTCTATATTTTCTATGTCTGTTTTTTTGCGTTCAAAAAATATAATACCTTTATATCCAAAGGGTATTGTTATTTTTTTCCCTTGAAGTGGATATCCACGAAATGAAGAATTATAATCTATGTAAAAAGATCTTTATTTTAATTATTTTTATATCTTATATTTTATCTTATATAATCTTACATAAATATTTTATTTTAATATAATTAAAGTTTTCTATGAAAAATATATACATAAACATATATATTTATTGATTGTAGATTCAAATTTAATGAACTTACGCTCGTCATCCATTTTATGAATGTAAGGTGTAAAATAAGAGGAAACATTTGCAAATTCATCACCATAAATTTTACATGGCATTAAATGCAATACATTTTGTTTTTCTTCGGATAAATCGTGATTCATGTGTAAACGAATAGCCATATTTAAACGGAAATACCGCGTTTTATTTAAGCGGGAATGAATTCAATCGTTACCGATATTTTGTATATTAACTAAAATATAGTTTATATTTTTTAAAATGTATCATTTAAACTTTGAACTTTATAGTTAATAATCTTAAATATCATCAAATAATTAATTTGCTATAAAATTATTATTAAATGTTTTAGCATTTACTTATTAATAAGATAAAAGATAAGAATAGTTTAGAATTAATTCAATATTATATTATGTAATTTAATAAAATATAAAATATCAATATAAAAAGATATATAAGTATAAAATATATATCTTATGAAATTATGTATAGATATATGATCAATCGTGTATAGTGGGGATGGTCCCCACCTTTACCGAAACAAACGAAGTGGGGAGGAAAATTTACTATCGTCCTGCGACGCGCACTCAGCATCAGTCGTAGTCGATTGTTCGATTCGATTCGATCTTGTTCTTTTTGATTTTCACTTCAAGAAAATTTTTGCGCAAGTGAGGCGTTTTTCACAAGTAAAAATAGTGTATATACGCAATTCTTAGTATAGAATATACTGCGTAATCAGTAATATCGTGTACTTCACTTTTCAATCAACGTGATCCTTTCTTTAATCAAAAATGAGCACGCCGGTGAAGAAAGTGCCTATTCACCTGCAGGTCAGTTAGTTGTTCATTTATTCTTTTTTTATTTCTATTATGTATATTTCTATCGATTTATGAGGTTCATTCCTTTATTTAAATATTATTACGTAAAAAAACTGCGTAAAAATATTCTATTTGTAAGTATGATTGAAGCAAACACCGGCTTATCTAGTGTTATGTATTAAATTGTACTTGCATCACGTGTGATACTGACATTCAAAGAATTCTAAAATCCTATACATTTTTAGAATCAATTACATTATTTAGAATCATTTTATTAAAATTAT